AGTCATGGACTCAACGTTAGGAACGATCCTTTTTACAAATTATTATTTAGATGATATTGCAATCGCATCCAAAGGAAGCTTCTCAGACCACAAAAACATTGTTTTCAAAAACTTATCAATTTTAGACAATCACAATTTTGTCGTCAAGTGGTTGAAATGCAAATTCTTTCAGAAAGAAATCGAATGGCTGGGATTTGAAATCTCAAGTTCACGAATCTCCCCATTGATCAACAAAACGAAAGCAAAAAAAGAACTACCTATCCCTAAAAATCTGAAGGAACTAAGATCGTTTTTCGGGTCCATAAATCAATATATCAAATTAGTTCCTAACTAAGCATCTTTGGGAGGGAACCCGCTCCGCGCCCTGCTAAATAGAAAATCTATTTTCAATTTGAATCACGATCACGCAAAAGCTTTCGAGAAAATCAAACGAGAAATTGTTAATCTAGCAGAAAATGCGCACTTCGACGTAAAACGTCACACCAGAACAAAAAACGATGCATCACAACGGATTAGGGGCATCTCTATAACAACTCAATGGGAACGATTGAAAGACGGTTTCTTGTCTCTCGGTTTTTGAATTCACACGAATCTAAATACTCTACTAACGAATTGGAATTTTAGGAGTCGTTTGGGCGGTGAAACATTATAAGAACTATCTCTATGGATCTCTATGGATCACCCATTTTCACGAGCCTCTAAAACCAATCCAATTAAAAGGTAGACGCGTTCCTCTCCATTTACTCGATTACTGAACTGAACCTGCTAAAAACAGATCATAAAGCCATACTTTCCACGCTTGCAACAAACCACGGAAATAAAACATAACACAGTAGACTAAAAAGATGGGTCGATCGGTTGCTATCTTTTAATTTTACAATTAAGCCCCTGGCAGGAAAAGATATGGGATTCACCGCTTTGATTTCAAGGATTCCAGCTGGAAATGCCTCACCCCAATCACATTATGACGAAGATTTTGTAGTCGCGAATAATTATAAAATCAAGAAAGCAATTTATCCTTCGGATAACAAGGACAGTCGTGCAAGACTATTGGTTCAAATTTGGAAAACTACGATCACGCAAGATTACGTAATTAGCTATTAGCATCAGTTCTAAAACTTTTACAATTTGTAATTCAAATCATAATCGAACATAATTTTGTACTTCAAAATGATTTCCTTCGGATTGTTCGAATATTAACGCTTCAAAAATTTCGATTTCTTTTTCCGCATTTTTTTATTTTTATTTCTTAATTGTACCATAATTAATTCCGCTTTATATAGAAAAATTGTAAATACTGTAAATATGGAAAATCATAAAAATGTAATTAATCCATCCACTTCCGGTATTCAAGTTTCTCTAGAATTCCCATTGTTATCCGAAAACGAAAAATTTTTAAATGAAGACCGTGAAAATTTGAAGTTGCCCGATCGTCCTTTGAATTTAAATACTTTATTTAATGCCAAATTAGTCGCTTTCCTAACCAACGATGACCCAATGTTGACCCCCATCGTGAAAGCACTCCAAAAAAAATCGAGACGATCAATGCAAACTCTCCATATTTTCATCACTACGTACGGGATTTACACGAACCCGACGGATTACTCTACATGGACGGTATATTAGTTATCCCCTTTACCCTCAGAAATGCTATGACGAAGACACTACACGAAACACGCCCCGGTTATTTCGGAAAAAAAATACTTGGCCCAATACATCTGGTATACTTGGCCCAATACATCTGGTGGCCCCATGATAACAGACAGATTTATTTCCATTGCATAAATTGTTCATGATGTACAAAGACGGGTAAGACTTTAAAAAACGTAATTCCAAACCTTCAAATTAATGAACTTCGCCCTTACTTGAATCCAACGAAGAACTCAACTTAGACTTCGCTGGTCCTTTATATTCTCACTGGGGCACAATCGAATATATTATACTATGCATCGATCGATTTTCGAAATGTCCATCGGCACAAATTACTACATCCACATGTTCAAAAACAGTTATCGAATTTTTTCAAGATTATCTCTTTCTCCATGGCATATCATACTCCATTAGAGCAGACCACGCATCCAGTTTTACAAGCCAGGATTTTTAATTATTTTGTGACTCGAACAAAATTAAATTAATATTTTTTACAATAGGAGATCATCGCTCCAACGGATTAGTTGAAATCTTAGACATACTATTAAAATCAAATTGTTGGCAATGGCCCAAAAATTTCAAAAACTTTACTCTATACGGTGCTATCTCAAAAATTATCTGGAACCTTCGGTCCTTTTATCAATCAAAAATTAAATGCTCCCCATTCGAAATCTATTACCAAACACTATTTGGAAACAACTGGCATCTGGTAAACCTTCCAATGCAAGTTTAGACAAGGCTAAATCCATACTTTGCAAAGAAAAAGCTAGGGATTGGAATGCCGTCGGCAGAGTGGAGGATGGTTATAAGGATACTGAGATCACTAAGAAGAATCAGACATCGCTGGAGAAGGGATATGAATCTGACTACCCATCTCCCTCAAAACCTTCGTCAAAATACCCCTTCAAAGTCCATTCAAAGGTAGAATCCTTCGGAAAACATGGAAGAACATCAATGGAAATCCCTTTTACAAAGAGTTAAACTAAAAAATTAAAAAAAAAACATCTAGCACTACTGTAGAATTATCCGATTGAAAAATTATCAGAAAACTATCTTCCAAAATCGAATTCTTCTAAAATCCGATCTTTGAAAGGCAAAATATCGTTACCAGAGTTTCCTAACCCCGATGTTGTAACAGGTACCAACCTAGAAAACAGGAACCGAAGACCAGATAACGAATAGAATTGGAAACCTCAGACAACAATACCAGAACGAGTGTGTCGAAATCATCAACGAACACTTCTCGAAGACAGCCACCCAGATCTAAGAAGTCGACCACTATTCCAGGTTAATTAGCTTCTGCAGAGTCGATGATTATTCCCTCGGATACTTCCCATATTAGCGATAGGGAATGGATAGCAGGAGGCTTCCCTTCTAGAGACGTGGTTAGGAAACGAATTATTTCCGATAGCCTAAATGATAAAAAACACGATAACATCACTGATAACCCTTGTAATGCAAATGATAACATAAAGGTTGAGAATTTAGATGACAACCCAAACGACTAGCTATCAACTTCACAAGGCCCAATAAGCATCATTCCGGAGGAACCAAGTGACATCCCACAAGAAACAGATCCAACGGACAAAACAATTGCAACAAACGGTGAAGATTCCCCATTAAACCGATATACGAGATAGTTGACTCTTCCGACGAGGCCACCCCCAACCAACAGCCTTCTCTTAATTCCGGTAACGAAGCGCTTCTACGTCGGTCAAGCCGAAACGTGGGCCCGCCAAAATCTGACGCTATAAGATATTTTATAGATGTTATAGATCTATTAGAAGAAACATCTGGCTCAGCCTCTAATCCGATTGTCCTGGATAACAACCGTAATAAACCTCATACTATAACTCACCACAAAACTCTTTTGGACGAGGTGACTAAAGTTTCGGTTTCTTCATTTTCGGACACTCACTCCCCCTTCCTCTACCCGCGAATCCTTTAGAATCGCTATCGACAACTATGACGGAACTACAGCCTTAGACAACGAACTATTTAAAACAGAGCTTGAAAACTTTATGAACTGCCACAAAAAACTGCTAATTCAAAAACTCGTTTTTCTTTCTTCGATATACTCGGTGCTTCTCATTTCGTTAACCGTACACACAAAAAATCATAATTTTCGCTAACTGATTGTTAACTCATATTTCCACAATAACATTCCTTCGGATCAGTGATCGTTATTCACCTTAATGCTCGGCTTATCAGAAATCTTGCAGTAAAAAACTTACCTTGGGGTGCTTAATTTCAGGCACTCAGTTTTTATTTTACAGAATTTAACTTTGTAACTAATGCTTAATTTATAAGTCAGTTTTTACATTTACATCCGTCGGATGTCAGCTATTTGAATTACATTCAGTGCTGAGTTGTTATTGTTTAACCGCATTAATTTTTTTCAATTATTAATTCTAACATTAACTTAGTGCATAAATACGGCGCTTAAACTTTCATATTTCTCTCTTGAAGGGGGAAAAAGGAGCAGTTACTTAGTTAATTAGTTAATTTTGCAATTTAAATTTTTTCTTGCTTTGAGGAATGCTGTGATTCCACTTTTATATCTTATCTAGTTTAGCTAATGACGTATCTAATTGATTTAACCGATCATTTATGTTTGACCTTTACACTTTCATTTTCTCCGGCGGAGAGAATGCTCTGTCCTTTTTAATGTTATAACTTTCAGATTAAGTCACAGATAATTCTAATTTATACAGTTAAAAAGATAAAAGTAACAAAGTAACATTTTATCAAAATCGCCTGTTGAAAAAACATAGACATCATACAGCTGGAAAAGAGTCAATGAACGCAAGGAAACCGAGTTTCAAAGGAAAAAACATGGCTTCAAAAATTTCAAGAATTTTTGATAAAACTAACCCTATTTGAGAAAAAGGATTAAAAGAAAACATTTCTCGCTGGGAAAGCTCAAAATTAGAATCAACTTTCCAATCTAGAAGTCAAATTTCCTGACCTTTAGTTTTTTTGTTCGATTGTCATACCGCGAAAAATCATAATTCAGACCGCGACAGATAAAATTGAGCGTGTACAAATTTCCAGACTTTTCATGAAAAAAAAACTCCTCACGACCTACAAAAGACTCTTCAGTACGTTCAGTGACTGGTAATGATGAAAAGGAAAAAAACATCATTAGTGATCAATCACTTCGTTCATTAACACTACGAAACCAAATGAACGGGTTTCATTTTGAAAACAATAACGACACAGAATTAAGCAGAGTGTATTTGCTTTTTGGACTGCAAGTTAAACCGAACGGGTTTCATTTTGAAAACAATAACGACACAGAATTAAGCAGAGTGTATTTGCTTTTTGGACTGCAAGTTAAACCAAAAGACTGAAACTTCAATAATTAATTAAAGAGACTAGGAATAACTGGATTTAATTACATCAGACAAAGTCAAATACTTCGGAGAACGAAGGAAAAGATTAAGAGACTCTTATTTACTGACATCACAATTTGTGCATTTGAAAGTCTCTTCTACTGCCGATAGATTTTATAGAACAAGTTAAATAAACAAAACTAAAGCGGAATTTGGAAAAAAAACTATTCCATTTTGTCAGTTATTTTAAATCAAACAACCAAGTTTAACTGAACCCATGACACTTTTCCATGAACAATAGCTGCTTTTAATTTGCATTTGCAGTTGTTTATTTGGGCCAGATACGAGGAAATTGAGATAGGGAAGTGTCTAGAACATTGACTGGATCATACTGTGTTGTTGGTTGACTTAACTAACTGCGCAACTCAATGATGGGAGGAAAGAAAGAACAGAGTATAATAACTAATAGAACAGTCACAGATTAGAACAAGGCCAAAGTCAGTCCCTTATTCCCTTTCGTGTTTGTTTGCAGTTGTGCTCTTAGCACCTAAAGCAGTCCCTTCATCTTGACTGCTGCTCTTGTCGGTTTGTTCACACGTGGTGTGAGGCGTTTGCCTACGCAGTAGACTAAGGTTGTTGTTGCTGCTGCTGTTGATGTTGTGGGGTACTCGGAGTGTGATGGTGGGGGTGGGAGTGGTGGGAGGCGTGAATGTTGTTGGCCGAGCTGACTGATATTCTGCCACTGATGCCAGAATTTGAACTGGCACTGACTCCTGCAGCACTGCTGTGGCTGTTGTTGGCCATACTGGTCGCATTCATCGCAAACTGTGCCCTTCTCTCCTGCTCCAAAACCATGAATCTATAAGAACAACGAACTAATTAATTTATCAATTAATAATTACAACAGTTCCATCAAACGGTTTTTAAGCCCTGGCCATACTTCCACTATTCAACCTTAGCCGAAGAGGGGCTGGAACCCACGACGTTAATAGAAAAAGCGAGGTACATATCTTAAACTATACCCTTTTTGAAAGCAAAAAGGACTTCCGTTACTAAACTTAAGGTTCACTAATCTTACAATCTTACTGTTGTATCTGGAGGAGAGGGTATTGTTCACTGGACATCTTATGTGGGATGTTTATTTAGCAGAACAAAAAGTAAGAAGAGTGAGTGGTTCACCTTCTCAGTTCGTGTTCGTGTGCCATCTGTGCACTGTACTGCGAGTGGGCGCCACTGGTCAGAGCGGAGAGATAGTCCTCTGCAGGCAGGTAACCCCCCACACCCATCCCCGCCATCCTACCAATACCACCACTCTGCTGCTGTTGTTGACTATTGGCAGCAGCAGCAGCCGCCGCCATCAGTTGCTGCTGTTGTTGACTGGACAGAAGACCAGCAGCAGCAGATGATGATGAGGCACCCGCAGCAGCACCGCCTGGAATCAGTCCAGCTAAGGCCGCCGCCTGTGCCTGCAACTCTCTCTCCCTACTACCGATAAAGGCACTTTGATTCGCCGCCAGTGAGAAGGGATAATTGCTGCTCTGCTGATTCTGCGAGTTCCCTCCTCCCATGGCCGCTGCGAAGAGAGCATGGGATTGGGAAGAGCCTCCGCCTGGGGGGACACCTCCTCCGCCACTTCCAAAATGCTGTAGTCCCAGCAGCGCCGCCAGTTGAGCCTGATCTGCGCCTGATGCTGCGGCGGCTGCTGCAGCTGCGGCCACATTCGGGTTCATTCCAGCTCCACCCGCTCCTTGCAACGCTGCGGCTGCATGATGCGACATTGCACTTGCATTGAACGGCGACATGCCTCCTAAGGCTGCCTGGGCTGCGGCTTGAGCGACTGCCAACTGCTGATGCATATGTAAGTGTAGGTGTGAGTGCTGATGATGTTGCTGTTGTGGCGGAGTTGGCTGGTGTCCCGCTGCGACTGCCGCCGCTGAATTCAACTGCTGCGCCAGTCTCGTCTGGTTTGTGAGGTGGTCGTGCAGTCTCTGTTCTTCCTGGATATGACGTAACATCAAAGCTGGATCTATGTTGTGCATGGATCCCTGCTGAGACGGATGATTCGCTCCCAGAGCAGAAGCGGCCGCTGCAGCAGACTGGAGAGCACCTGGGGTAAGGGCACCTGGACTACTCATCAGATTCTGGTGAGCCAGCAATGCAGCTGCCAATGCGTGTTCGTTTTGTTGCAACTGTTGAAGAGCCATAGCAGTGCTAGTGGGTATGGAACCACCCTGGCCTCCCGCTGGACTGTGACCCACTCCAGCACCATGTTGCAAGTTGGCGGAGTCCTTAAGTCTGGCAAATAATTCCGCGTTCAGCCTTATGTCTCCTCGCAACTGGCGCTCCGCTATCTCTTCTGGGGTCCAACCTGGATTCCCACTGGAGGACGAGGACGTCGGTACCATTGGGTGATGTCTTTGTTGGTGTAATGAAGAAATCGGCGACGCCAGGTGTTGGAGGGGCAATGTTGACGCGTGGGATCCGCGCAGACTCAAAGGGGTCCGAGGAGCATTCATCATTGCGGCATGTGTGGACGCCACCCCAGGGTAGGCTAGGTTCGTATTCACAGTGACTCCTCCGGTTGAAGCTGCTCCTGGCGATGTGGATGCCCCATTGATTGGTGTGACTGGGGTTTGGAGGGGAAAGGTACCTGACTGTGCTGCGGACGTCTGCAGGGAGGAGGGGTTGCTTGTCACTCGCACAGACTCAGACGGGTGTCCGGCCGAATGAATGAGCTCTCGAGACGACGTCGGGGGCACTCTTGTAGCATCACTCGTGCAAGTCTAGATAAAACGACAAACTATGAGCAAACTCACTAAAGTTTGTTTAAGCAGACTATAAAAGTGCTCTAAACGTTTATTTCACTGATAGAAAGAGTAGCCAATAAACTAAGAATCGAAAAGCTTCCAGAAAAGAGAACAGAGATGCACTGTTTTTGCCCCAAGTAACCGATGAATGATCTGAGTGTGACCTTTTCTCTCTTGATGTGTTGTGGCTGTGTGGTGGTGGTGGTGCTGTTCTGCTTGGAAGAAGATGTTGAGCTGGGGATGGAAGTGGCGTGGAATGAGGAGCCCCCACTGATGGGCACACACCTCACATCCGTCCTCGCACAGCTGTTCACTTGCCCCACACAACTACTACTGTTGTGATCATGGGGAAAGGCATAGGTTTCTGCCACTGTTGCTGTTGTGGCATGGACGGATCTGCTGCTGGATGTGGTCGCTGGTGTCTTTCGTCTCCAGTTGCGAACCAGTTTGAACACTCTAAAACACAAAAAAATCATCGAACCAGTTTGAACACTCTAAAACACAACAATATCATCATACTAAATTACACTTGTTCGTAGCATTAGGTCATACTACATCAAACAATAATTTTCAAAAAGTAACGCAATCTTTTCTAGACTGTGTGTTCAAATAGCAAGCTATCTTCTCCTAGATTCATTCCACGGTTGGAAAAAAAAACGTTTATAATAGAAAAAAACTCCATTTGCTTTCTTAACTTTCCATAAGGAATTCTCGTTGTTGAGAAATGACTTTCCAATCCAGCTGATTTGGATACGAGAGCCAATAGCAACGCTGTTTCATAACTCGACCTCTTTCCATTCTGATAACCCTATTGCCGCGGTTCAAGTCAGACCAGGGGCGGACACCCCGCTCCTCAGGGAGTCGACCCCCTACCGACCCAAAGGGTCCCCTCCCCTCTTTGTACTACTTAAGTCCATAGACAATTGAACTGGTGAACAATCAGCAAAAACAGTATGGGAAAAGATGACAAGAACAAGCAAAGGGCTTCTCTAAACCAAATCAATCGCAGCACAGCTGATGTGTGCATTCTGTTCTACTCTTTTCAACTGGTAGAAGAGCTTACCAACAAAGTAATGCAGCTTAGATTAAACGTTTGACTACACGGCGAAACTACGATCACCACACAACAACTACGCACGTTATTACATCACAGACCACATACTAATACAACTAAAAACATCAAATACAGTGACAGTTTTTACTATAGTCAACGGTTACATACATTCTGGCCAGCATTATCACAAAAAGACAACGCATCGAAACCCTTGGTGTCCAATTAAACAATTAATTGAAAATAGTGTTTTATTTATTTTTATTAGCATTAGTATTTTTGGGAACAAACTGGAAAACATATGCTTATGAAGGAAATTAGTTTTTGATGGATTTTGGATTTTAATTGAAATGAAAGTTTAAATGGACGGATGGAGATGATTGGATAGGAGAAAGACGGTTGATTAGCAGAACAAGAACAAGACAGAAGTGAAGAGAAGAGCGCAGGTATGCCGCACACTGGCAACATTTCGTGTGTGGTGTGGGGACGCAAGGGGTATGGGAAGACGACTCTGAGAGAGAACTTGGCCGCCCTCTTCTGCGAACACTCAGGTCAGTCAGTCAGGAGGAGAGAGAGAGAGGACCACAGTGTGTTAGAATCACAGAGTACCCCTCTTTTAGATTATGGGGGCATACATTTTAATGCTCCCAATTAATGTACCACAAGGTATGGGTTAAACTATTCATTCCATCCCATGCAGCCACCTGGAAAAAGAGAGTCTCCTCCATTCACAGCGTTTTAACTATTTCTGATGTGGAAAAGGCAGAGATGGACTCAAGAGTGGTTAGAGTATCCAGCGCACAACCTGTTACACACTCCTGGCCACCAGTCTGAAAGGCAGAAGAAACACTCGCAACTACTCTTCTCAATTACATCTATTTGTTATACCAATTACGGTTAAAAAGGTGCTTTGAGATGATATCAGCAGGCACAATCTTCAGCTTGTTCTGAGGTGGTTAAAATCGCCTGAATCTCCCTGGATCATAGTTACCTTCAGTTCGTTCGGCTCAGTTCTGCTTCTGTGAGGTTTCTAGTGAGGTGTGTGTGTGTGTGTGTGTGTGTGTGTGTGTGTGTGTGTGTGTGTGTTTTCTTCTCTTTCTCCTTCTGACACTTTAGGGGCTGAGCACCAGAAGAGGAGAGACAACAGTGGCAGTGGCCATGGGGGAGGAAAGGGGGGACAGAAGAAGAAGCAGAAGAGTCTGCTGGACAAGCCCAGACCCAACATGAAGAGTGTGGTGAGTGTGACCAGCAGGGCCTGGTTCGGACTCACAGCCGACACTGTCAGCTCACTCGCCAACTCCTACCCAATCAGAGTGGAGCTCAAGGTACACCCACCCCCCCCCCCCCCCACACACACACACACACACACACACACACACAAACAGAACAGTGTGGCCATGGATATGAAATCCTCAGACCAGTCTCAATTTCCGTCTGAGATAGAGAGAGAGACTTGCATTTGGTGCAGTAGACGTGACCATACTGCTTCTTCTCTTTGTTTAATGCTACATGCACCAATTAACCAAAAAAAGTGAAAAGAACAACCGCTCAGGATGTTTGTCCGCCCAATTATAACTTAAGCAAAGAGAACTTGTTTTGGGTGAACTGTGTGTCATATTAATCCCCTATAAGTCTTGATTCAGATTGCAAAAAAAAACATCAAAAAACTTCTCCATTTTTGAGATACGGTACAAGAAAATGAAACTCAAATTTCTCTCGATTTTCATAGCATTATCTTTCATTCTTGCAGTTGTTTGTTTTTGCGAACAATATCTTTAACACAAAAAAGAAAATGTTTGAAATTTTTGGTTTTTGATCATGAAAACTTCTCCCTAAATGACTGTGGTGGCAAACTTGTGACTTGTGGGTTACATGTACAGCAAGCAGCAATTGTGATTTGCAGCCTTTGTTTTTGTGTGACTAAGTCCATGTATGTGAGTGTATGTTTGATTGTGTGTGTGTGTGTAGGAGATGGGGTGTTCGTGGTACAGTCTGGAGAGCGAGTACTACTTGGGCCAGTTGAGGAGTGCTGGAGTGATCATGTATGTGATAGACAGCACTGCCAGGTGGGAAATACACGAGGAGAGGCCACTGTTCGAGAGGTTCCTCCACGAGATATACGGACAGGGGGTGAGTAGGAAGAGACCAGCTGACACACATCACAACACAACCAAAAACGAACAGCGCTGAGCAAGAAACAATAACAATTACATGATCTTCGTTTGAACAAAGTGGAAAAGTCCATCATATACTACCTTAAAAAAAGAAACATGACAGATCTGCTTCCCCACTACTACTACTTCTACTTTGGATTTGAGGCCTAAAGTATTCAGGTCTCGTTTAACACAATCGATCCAGACTTTTTTAGGCCTTCCTGCAAGTCTTTTCCTGGAACTGCTTCCCCCCGACGAGGCAAAATGAAACAGCACACAGCAGACCACAAAAGTCACAATTCCAAGTAGACAGATAGATTAGAGTCATACTTGCAATCACTATCTATCTCATGAACTATGAGTAACGTCATCCAAACAGCTAGTTTCAGGCCACATTTTATAGACCCCACCCCGCCATAGCCTGCGTCTCATTAGAAAAAGAGGCAGCAGACAGACAGTTAAGGTTATGATAGATTGAAAACCTCAGGTGAACAACTCAGTTGTTGGAACATCTTTTCAAACAGTCTACTAGATCCTTGCGGCGGTTATTCTCTCGGAGTAACAGTTTATGTGTGTGGGTATGTTTACATGTATGTGCAGTATGTGAGTGATTATAATACATGAAAGTAGTGTGCATGTGTGTGTGTGTGTGTGTGTGTAGATGGGTCCCCCTCTGTGTGTGGTCTTCACCAAGTGTGACTGTGAGGGGGCGGAGAGTGAGTGGATGGAGGAGGCCATGGGACTGACGGAGAGGAGTTGGACTTGCTGGCCAAACATACCCGACTACAGACTACTCAAGGCAACACCACACTTTCACAATTCCCAATTTCATCTCTTCTCTCAGCCACACTAACGCAGTCAATCTAAACCGGTCGAAACCATTGAAAACATTTTGTTGCCAAAACAAAAACTAAAATGGAAATTACACAAAATCATGGAATTCAGTTATCCAAAGAGGTTAAATTAGATGATTTAAGAAATGCGGGAACAAATCAAACAAAAACAAGCAGACAGACGAGATAGTCCGCTAAAAGAGAACTTCAACAGCCTCTCCAAACATGGGCGTGAACTCTAGACTAAATAGGCTAAAATAGTCATAGGATTTAAACTCCATGTGAACCAAGATACCAAATGCTACACTGATTCTTAAACAAGTTGTTGGCCTGAAAAAAGTCTTTATTCGGCAAATCACAAGTGCAATTAAATAAACTGTGGGATGTTTTGCAGGATAAGTGAGTGTGTGTGTGTAGGTGCAATCGGAGGACAGAATCTCGGACGACATCCACACGCCCACGACAGCAGTGTGCAAGAAGGCTTACGACATGCGGAACACGATGGCCACCATCCTCATCCTCGCCCAGAACAACGCCCCCCTCTCCACCACTACAGGGACGGGGACAGGGGGCACGGATGAACACGCGAGCAGCACCACATACACACACAGTCCCGCACACAGACAACAACAACAATAAACACGACAGTAGAAGATACAGAACAAACACAGAAGCCAAACTGAGAAGACAAAAAATAAACAAGCTCTAATCGCTCAAACTGGAAAACAAAACAAATATTGTTAGAAAATCATCTTTTTCTACTCCACGTGGAAAACAGCAGAGCTTCCGTTTACGAAAAAACAAATGATATTTTATTATGCAACTTCTAAATAAACAAATGACATCATCTTCCCAAAAAAAAATTTACTCAATCTGCAAGTCCAAGTTCGGAATCAAATCTATCGCGAAATATTTTTCCAGTCAATGATTCAAGTTAAAAAATCTATCCGGAAAACGTATAACTACAAGCACTGTTAGAAAAGGTTAACAAATTAGTCTAGATTTTTTTTTGCCATTTACGATATTTTTGCAGCCAACAACCCCTTAAATAGACCATCGATTTCAATGTCAACAAATCTTTATGCCCGAATGTTCGACAGAAGCAACATACATGAGGTAAAATAATCGAGGATTAGAAAAAATTCGAACAGTTATTGGTCAATAACCAGCCATTTAACCACGCGACCACGAGAGCTTTGAATGCGTCGGTTATGAAAGCGCAAAACACCTCAAATACCAGCCGCGTGCACCACTTGCAACGCAAAAACTGAAAGAAAAACAGAGAAAATTGAAACTATCTCAAGTTTGTTCAATTAACAGCAAAAACACATCTTTAAAAAAAAACACTGGCAACAAGTTGACCTTAACCTGTTCAGAAGACAAACAATTAAATCACGCACAAATATGAAAAAGTCCAGAAAATCATTATTTTTATGATTTATGTTGCAAGACGATTATGTTTAAATAGCAAGAAATTTTAGGTCATTTCACAGGAGCCCATACGTAACAGCTCAGAAAAAAACAATTCAAGTGAAAAAAATAAATAAATCAAACCAATTCTTAAATCGAAAATGTTTAACTCTCCTAAAATACATTTTAAATAATTCAAAATTCAAAACACAATAAGCATAATAACACAAAAAAAATCATCTTATTTTAAGAAGTTATGAAGAGGGAAACAAAAACATATTTTCATTTCCGAGAATACGAACTCCTTTTATGCAAAAACAAATTTACGAATAGTACATCTGAACAAAACTTTCACAAAAATAAAGTGATTATAAACTTAGAAAAACACAAAAAACAGGGCACATCCTCGAACAATTCATAAAACAAATAATCAACCCGAAAACGCAATAAAAAGAAATAAAAAGAAAGAAAATTATTTCTCCAAATCATTTCAAAGCAAGAAGTTTCAACAAAAAATAACAGCGAAGATTTTACTAGCACCTTACTTAATGAAAAGAGTCTCGGAAAGGACAGACAACATCCTTATGTCCACTTGACAGTCTGCCAGTAGTCTGTCCACTTTTACAGTTTCCTATGATTCTTCATTATGGATTGAAAACATTTTGGAGAAAAAAACTATGTTCTTTCATACTTATTTTGCAAACATAAAGGACTCAAGAAAACTAGCATTTGACAGAAGCACTGCCAGGCAGATCTGTATTGAGCTCTCAACACCTACAAGGATTGAGCCCGAGTTGAAGTGAAACAACACGGTTTGCCTGGTTAAACAAATAACAAGCAGGCAGATTTCTAAAATAAAAAAATTAACACACTACGCTGCTCGCTAATATAAACAAGCCAACAGACAGTTGGAAAAGAATCAATGATCGCAAGTAAAAAGAAAAAATACGGACTTATTTTTTGAAAAGATCTTTCGAATTCCGAAGAAAAAAATTAATGGCCACTTTTTTGATAAAATAAACCCAATTTGAGAGAACTGGATCAATAAATAAAATTATTTTGCTGGAAAATTCGATAAATAAACTCCAATTTCGAAACTAGAAGTCGATCACGTTTTTCATGACTTTTAAACTTTTGCTGTTCGATAGTAGAGTTTGCTTCGTAAACACTAACTCTGCATTGTAACAAATGGCAATGCATAAAGCCATATTACATATATATTATGCATTTCAAAAAAATGCAATATATTGAGTTAGAACAACTCTGAAATCGAGTTTTCAATGTTATGTTGTTTGAAACAAATCACTTTTTTCGGTTCATTTGAATTAAAAATGCATCAACTGTGTTATTTTATTACAATTCGAATATCAAAGCACATGCTATTTTAAATAATTCAAAATTCAAAACACAATAAGCATAATAACACAAAAAAAATCATCTTATTTTAAGAAGTTATGAAGAGGGAAACAAAAACCTATTTTCATTTCCGAGAATACGAACTCCTTTTATGCAAAAACAAATTTAGGAATAGTACAACTGAACAAAACTTTCACAAAAATAAAGTGATTATAAACTTAGAAAAAACCCAAAAAACAGGGCACATCCTCGAACAATTCATAAAACAAATAATTAACCCGAAAACGCAATAAAAAGAAATAAAATTATTTCTCCAAATCATTTCAAAGCAAAAGTTTCAACAAAAAATAACAGCGAAGAATTTACTATCACCTTACTTAATGAAAAGAGTCTCGGAAAGGACAGACAACATCCTTATGTCCACTTGACAGTCTGCCAGTAGTCTGTCCACTTTTACAGTTTCCTATGATTCTTCATTATGGATTGAAAACATTTTGGAGAAAAAAACTATGTTCATTCATACTTATTTTGCAAACAAAGGACTCAAGAAAAGTAGCATTTGACAGAAGCACTGCCAGGCAGATCTGTATTGAGCTCTCAACACCTACAAGGATTGAGCCCGAGTTGAAGTGAAACTCAACACGGTTTGCCTGATTAAACAAATAACAAGCAGGCAGATTTCTAAAATGAAAAAAATTCTAAAAGTACCAAAATTCGGTGTTTTTTGTTCACGAAGAAGCTTTTTGAGACATTTAGGCAGAGAGACGTTTACTGCACAACCACAATTTGGATGGTAGCACAAATTCAAAATTAAGCAGCGAGAAAAAATGTCTGGAAAACATCAATTTACTCTAATGCGGAAATTAGTAACTTGGTTTCAAACTCAAAACAGCTAATTTGACCATACTTTCGAACTATTTCGGAATTTTTTTTCTTCGAAATCGAATATTTAAAAACAATGAACGGTGCCTTTGAACGATACATTAGCGAGCAGCGTACGAAAAGAAGGTTCGTACTAACACACTACGCTGCTCGCTAATGTAAACAAGCCAACAGACAGTTGGAAAAGAATCAATGAACGCAAGTACAAAGAAAAAATACGGACTTATTTTTTGAAAAGATCTTTCGAATTCCGAAGAAAAAAATTGATGGCCACTTTTTTGATAAAATAAACCCAATTTGAGAGAACTGGATCAACAAATAAAATTATTTTGCTGGAAAATTCGATAAATAAACTCCAATTTCGAAACTAGAAGTCGATCACGTTTTTCATGACTTTTAAACTTTTGCTGTTCGATAGTGGAGTTTGCTTCGTAAACACTAACTCTGCATTGTAACAAATGGCAATGCATAAAGCCATATTACGTATAAATTATGCATTTCAAAAAAATGCAATATATTGAGTTAGAACAACTCTGAAATCGAGTTTTCAATGTTATGTTGTTTGAAACAAATCACTTTTTTCGGTTCATTTGAATTAAAAATGCATCAACTTTGTTATTTTATTACAATTCGAATATCAAAGCACATGCTATGAAAAAGCTGTAAAGGTGCCCCAAAAGTGGCACCAATATTTGCGACTTAGGTTGGAAAAAAGAAAGTTTGTACTAATACACTCGCTTCGCAAGTGTAAACAAAGAAAATGAACTAAACTTAAAAAGAAATCAAAAGTCAAACGGCAAAAAAAAAGTATTTTTGAGCCTGAACAAATACCCCATTATTGCAGTCGAAATCGAGCACGCTGTGGTAGACATGAAGCTAGAAACCATGTGAGCTAGCCCTCACACATTATCACTGCCATGGCAGGGGATCGAATACACGATCAGACTCTCTAAAAGTTTCGTTATGCTAGGTACTTTGTTCACGGACCTTGAATAACTTATACATTCAGTAAAACAGAACTTGTGTGGACTACGCACCGTTTGTGTGGAGACTGTTCAGTCACGTGTCTCGTAGGAACTATTTGCACTTCCTCATTGCACTGCAGGGGTGTTGGGGAGGGGGGAGGGGTGAGGCCACTCCGTCCCACTATCACCACACCCATCTTCGTCGAACCCCCACCCATCTCCATCATCGACATCAAGTCATCTTTACACTCCAATTTGACCTCTTGTGGGGGCATTTTAATCTTAGATTCTAAGACATGAGTTGAAGACGGGAGCTGCAGACTGCTCGGCACTTGCGGCCTTAATGAACAACTATCTCTCGGCTCCACTTTTATATTGGCTCCTTGTAAAGCCAATACTGTCGGCTCTGTGCCAGTACTATTTGTACTTGCAGATTGCGACCATGTCAACAGAGTCTCGGATGATGAGAATTGAGCAGACAAATCTGAACAAGGAACTCCAGCAGACGGTAAATGTTGTCTAGCTTGTTCTGCTGCGGCTGTTGCCAGAACTAATTCTGACGTGGGCGCAAATACCGGCGGGAACTGGCCGCCAAATGCCTCCAGTCTCGCTTCCTCTTCCTCCTCTGCGGGAGTCTGATCTTCTATAATGCCAGTAGACAAGGAATTCTGCCTGCTGCAAATATGGGCGGTGGTGCGCATCGCGAGGAGTCCTGGTTCTATCTTTACGTCGGCAGCCAGAGACTGCAGTTCGGATTTGGTAATGACTGCGGCTACTTCTGTCGCAGTGGATGATGCTGAGGTTGTTGTTGGCATGACTGTTGCGGTGTCTGATGAACTTTTGCTTCTCCCTGCAGATGACGATGTGTCGTTTGCACTGCTGACTGTTGTTGATGTGGTTAAATGCGTGTCCGAGTTCACCTGCTGTTGTTGTTGTTGTTGTGGCGCATCGATCTGCATGGGCTCTGGTCTTGTGGTGGCATCTTCTGCATCGGCGCTGTCGTGTGTGGAGTGTTTTGTTTGTCTGCCTGTCGAGGAAGAAGAGGATGTCGATGAGGAGGAGGACTGTGTCTCTGTGTTGCTGTTCTCTGTTGTGCTGCTCGGAGTGTCCGACCGACTACTCGCTGCACTCTCCTGAAACGCAACACAAACACACATCAACATACACACACACAGCAGCCTTCATCTTTTAGACTGTGGCAAATACTGATTTATCGTACTCTTCATCTTTTTGCGCACTCTCTTTAACTTAATTCATTGAGCATTGCTGAATCTTAACTCTGCTTCTATCTGTCATTATACCAGCTTGTTCGTGCAGTATTCACTCAGGATGGAAGGGAAGGGGTCTACATAGGAGCTGCCCGGCTAGTTGTTCACGCAGATCAGAACAGAATCGCGCAGATGCTCTTTTGCTGATTATTTAACTCACCCTGTGTTTGGCCCGCTTGCTGCCCCCACTCCCACTCCCACTGTGAACTGTCTGCTGCTGCTGTGCTTCTGTTGAAGACGAAGAAGAAGAATGAGACAGTGTCAATGTACTCTCCACACTATTTCTGCTCTTCCTCTTCTTCTTCTTGCCACTAATACCACTTGTACTTACAGTACTATTGCCACTGTGCTGCTGCTGCTGCTGTTCCACTGATGGACTCAGCGCTGGAGAATACACCTACACACCAGAAGGGAAAATTAATCATATTCAAACTTCCTCGTCCTTCCTTCCTTACTTCCTTCCTAGCCTAGCCTAGCCTAGCCTAGCCTAGCCTAGCCTAGCCTAGCTGGCTACTTTAAGTCAATTGATATAATGAAGAAAGGAAGCAGTGAGTCACTATTTTCTTCTCTCTTACCCCATTAGTTCTCTCAAATGATCCCCCCATCCCCACGTCTGCAGGCAGCGAACAAGCACTGGATGCCCTGCTGCCGCTGCTTAAGCTCACATCACCCCCTCCTCCCTTGCCTCCAGCAGCGCTCTCGGCAGCAGTAGAAGCAGTAGCGGGGGTAGCTGTGGCCGCGGTTGACTTGACTGGTTTGAACAGATATTGCGAGGAGTTAGTCAATTGTGACGAAGACGATGCTGCGGATGTTTGTGGGACCATGTTTGTGTTGTTATTACTATTATTATTACCACCAGTAGGTACTGGTGTCTCCGCTGTCTTCGGCAATCTTCCGTACTTCTGAAACGAATTCATAACATCACCTTAAAAATTACTGTCGACCACAGAAAGCACTTGAAAAGCTTGCAACTTTTGCATTTTGACATGTTGTTCTATGTAACATCTGATTAAATACTCAACAATGAGTTGAGTTGGTCGAACTTAGTTTTTTTTAAGGCAAGGCAAAACTATTCGGAGAACCTGATATAGCCTGAAAAAGTCATCCCAATATAGCGTTGAAACACAGAGGCGAAGCTGCGCTTCACAAACACTTGCGAAAACACGACCAAAAGGCAGCTCTATCAAGTGAAATAAGAAAAGGCTGAAATCAGCATCGAATTAGCAAAAACTCGGATACTGGTAGGATTCGAATCTTCGACCTACTGCAATCGAGAGATTTTGAGTCTCACACACTATCCACGCAACCTCAACAACCGACAAATACTAGTCACGAATAGAGCAGCTACATATGCTAATGAATTGCCGATGCAGTTCAGCAAAAGTGGCACCAAATATAAATTGGCTGAGCTTTGCAGCTAATAATTTGGAATATAACAAACTGAAGGCATCCACACTAACTTTGCATGTAACAAATCGCAAAGCATAAAGCCAAATTATGTACTTATTATGCATTTCAAAAAATTGCGAGATAAATTGAGAAATTTAGAAAATTTCCAAAATCGAGTTTTTCACTTTTTTCGGTTCATTCGATGAACCAAAACTGCATCAACTGTGTTAACATATTACTATTCGAATGTCAAAGCACATGCTATGAAAAAGCTGTAATCGTGCCCCAAAAGTGGCACCAATATTTGCGACTTAGGTTGGAAAAAAAGAAGGTTCGTATTAATACACTCGCTTCGCAAGTGTAAAAGAAAACAACGAAGCAATGGCAAAAAAAGTAAATGATTCTCCAAAATAACCATCACGAATATCGCTCATTGTTACGTAGTTGCCAAATATTGTTTTTTTTGCCCAACATTTGAAGTATCGAAGACTTTTAACCATCGAACACTCTTATTTGTTCTTGAACTCATTTCGTATCGAAAGGTTCGGACGGGTATTTTGACCTGACCTAATAAGCCTGACTTTGTCAAAAATTTGAATGCGTTGGGAAATTAGCTCCTGATGAAGAGTAACTTGGTGCTGCTTGCCCAGTCTGCTGCTATTAATGGTGTGTGTGTGTGTGTGTGTATGCGTGTGTGTGTAGCATAGAGTGGAAGACTGACCTGGTAGTCTAGTCTGCACTCGAAGCAGAGCAGAGTGCGATGGGGATGGGAGCCCCAGTGGAGGAATGACTTGGAGGCAGTGGTGCCACAGTGTCTGCACTGGGTGCCTCCATTGCTGTCCAGACTGCTGCTGCTGTTTTCAGTGACAGTGTTGCTATCCCCATCCGACTCCACGTCAGTGCCACCGCCACTACTCCCCACTTCTACAAAACAGTCCACTTATGCGTGTCACTCAACAAAAGACGGAAACGCGGGAAAAAGAAAAAAAACTTGAACAAACAGTAAAACCGAAATCCAACCAAAACATTTCAAAACAGTTGGAAAAATGTCAATGAACACAAACAAACAAAAAAAATCAATTTTTGATTTAAGCAAAAAGATATATGCACTAAAAGCTCTTTCAAAAAACAATTTATGGTTGACACTTTTTTCGATAAAATCAATTCAATTTTAGAAAACTGGATCAATAGGGCAAGTTTTTAAACCACTAGAAAATCTGAAAATTAAAACTAACTACCCCAAATTAGAAGTAGATCACATTTTTCGCGATCTTTACACTCTTGCTGTTCGATTGTGGAGTTTGCCTTCTTTTAAACTAAGGAAATGAAGTGAATTTAAAAATAAATCAAAACTCAGCCCGCGAAAAATCAAATTTGAAGAAAATACACAAAAATCATCACGACCTTTATAAAAATCTTCACTACTTTCATCAACTCTTAAAATGTCAATCCAATCACGACTAAAAACGGCTTTGATAATCTATGTCGCCCGACTCATTATGGTGAGCAATTGTGCCAGGAGAAGAAATTGAAATAGTCGGAATACTAAGTTCGTCCCCACTTTCACTTCGTGGTCCGAATTAAAAATACCAGCTGCTAAATAAATTTCTCACAAAAATTGCGTTTGCCAAAGGATAATTGCACTACACACAAAAGAGTATACTTAATGACACTTACTCAGCGTAAACGGAATTTAAACAGCCAACGTTCCGGTTCAAAGGGACAGACACACCCCAACCCCCTCCCCTCCCCTTCCACCTCCAACTGGAAAAAAAATTCTTAATGCTTCTGTTTACAACTTCCATTTTCACTAATTGGCCTTTGATGATATCTGTCTGCGTCTGCGTTGCAAGGCATATCCGATCCCCCAAGTGTTCATGAAAACATGAGAAAATAGCCTTACAAGATACTTTTGGCTGAGCAAGAAAACATTGGAGTGAGGAGAGGAGGACTACGTACGATTGGAGATGATCTTGGATATCCTGGCCACTCCGCTGTTGCCGCCTGCAGTGGCTGTGGCAGCAGAGTTCTTCTTCTGCTTACCACTGAAGGGCTTCGTGCCAGCTGTGGTAGTGCCACTGCCCCCCTTCGAACCACTGCCACTTCCCTGCAACAAACACACCAACATACTCAAGCAGTGCTTCCCAATAATATTGGCAATAATATAAAACATTGAGCTTTCACCCATTGCACACATGCCCTCGCAAACTTTTCATACTTTCCAAAACTCTTCCAGAGGCTGGATTGATAGCAAAACCGGAGTTTAAAAACCAAGGAAAAAAACGCAGAACTAACCAAACGGATTTGCACAACAGACCTCCAGATTATGTGTAAATTCCTTTAACAGAGCGGATAGAAAATGCCACCAAATAAATCGAAAATATAGTCGCAATTACAAACGTGCCCAGTGGAAAAAACTCAATAACGAAAACGTGTTATTAACAAAAAAATGAAAGATTTGCGAAAGCGGAAAGTCTTTTGTCCTCACCTTTGAGTGGTTTGAGGATGAGGATGAGGACGAAGAGGAGGTGCCCCCCCTCGTGGCTGCCCCCAGGGAGGAGGTCTGGGCGCCTGGCGTCTTCTTCCACACGTAGTAAAACTCCACCAGCTCCGCCTACACACAAACACACACCCACTCAGAGAACACATTACAAGCAACTACACATTACAGTTTCTATCTCAAACTGCTGGGCAAGTTCATCTGGTGGACAATAATTATATCTCACCATGCTAATTGACGTGCTCATTCTATCCCACAGAAAGCAATTTGTGCTCGCTATGCTTGAACAATTACTTTCCGACCACTTAACGAAAAAGGACGGAACTGAGTTTCTGTCCTATGTTATTAACTCACAGAACGTTTTTATAGGATCAAGCCCTATTTGTTGTGATTCCCAAGAAAATATACATATTTTACAGAACTGAGCTAGTCTTTTTCCATGTTCAAGACTAACTTGGAGGAATGAATGACAAAAAGAGCGACCTTGTTATCCAATTCTACAGCACGTTGACGTGATTTTAAGCTAGAATCAACTCATTCTAGCAGATTATTGTCCAACTCTATCCCTCTCACCGACAAAAAAAGTTTTTTTTTTGTTTTAGCTTATTTTCCAATTGGTTTACTTGTACTAATGAAGCGGTTGAAATTATCTGTGGTACTTTCTCAGTAATCTACTTTTTCTGGGGATCAACAACTTCGGGTAGTGGTTGTTCATTCACGTCCGACTCATCTGAATATGTGATGGCAGTTGACTTACAGTAGTCCTGTGAGGCAGGTAGTCTGTGCGGATGGTGTTGAAGTTCTTGCCCACCTGGCGTAGTCCCTTCACAAACACCTTCTAAACACACACATTC